TGTCTGTAAATTTGACCTGTTGAAAGGCTACTGGCAAGTACCGTTAACAGAAAGAGCAAAAGAAATATCTGCTTTTGCTACACCAGATGGACTTTACCAGTATAAAGTAATGCCTTTTGGCATGAAAAACGCACCGGCTACATTCCAAAGGATGATTCACTCTCTTTTTCAAGACCTTGAGGGATGCGAGGCCTACATTGATGATGTCGTCATATACAGCAACACATGGGACGAACATCTCCGAATCATGTGTGCTTTATTTGACATTTTAGCTAAAGCAAACTTAACTATGAATCTTGAGAAGAGCGAATTTTGTCATGCTTATGTAGAGTATTTAGGTCATGAAGTAGGTCAAGGTTATTTTACACCCATTATGGCTAAAGTGGAAGCTATTGCAAAGTTCCCGATTCCTACAAACAAGAAAGAATTAATGAGGTTTTTGGGCATGGCTGGGTTTTACAGAAAATTTTGTCCAAATTTTTCCTCAGTTGTTAGTCCAATTACAAATCTTTTACAAAAGAGGGTTTACTTTGAATGGACAAAGGACTGTGAAAAATCCTTTCATAAAATCAAATCTGTCCTTATGAGCAACCCAGTTCTGTCAACTCCAGATTTTTCTAAGCAATTTAAGCTTACTGTTGATGCTAATGATGTTGGAATCGGGGCAGCTTTGTTTCAAGAATATAGTGATAAGGTAGATAGAGTTGTTTCTTATTTTTCAAAGAAACTTACAAAATGTCAATAAAAGTATTACACCACTGAAAAGGAATGCCTTGCTTTGTTGTTAGCCTTACAGCATTTTGATGTTTATCTGAATGTTACTTTGCATCCAATTCTTGTATATACGGATCACAACCCCCTGACATTTTTGCATAAATTGTCAAACAAGAATCAAAGACTGACTAGATGGAGTTTGTTGTTACAGGAATACAACATAACAATAAAGCATATCAAAGGCAAAGACAATGTTATTGCAGATGCCTTGTCAAGAGTATCGTAAATATACTAGATTTTGTATTAATGTACCTATGTTTTAATAATATAAGTTTTCATTGACATTCAAACTTTTTAAGGGGGGGAGGTGTTGTGATATGTGTATTGTTTCATTATGTATATAATTAGTAACATTAAGTTTCTTGAACATTCCAGAGTGGTCAACATGTTCGGTCATTTGATCTAGAACATTCTTAAATTTTGTATATGTCCAGATTGTTCCAGCAATATCATGTTTTAACAATTTCTAGAATATTCTAGATTTATATTACTGTATAAATACCCTGTCAATTCGATGCATAGAGATAATATACTTTGTCGTATAAGCACTATTGAGATATAACTGGGATATATATTTTCACTGGGACATTGTGTGCAGCAACGGACACTCTGATGTATGTATTTTTAGATTCTTGCTAAGTTTGTACTTTATGTTTCATATACTTATTATATATTACTGTAAATAAATTACTGTTAAGTTTAAATTGTGTTATTGATCTTTGCTGGCATTTAGGGTTATTCTGACCCATAACAGTCTGACTAAATATTTATGAATAAACCTTTTGAGATTTATTGATAATTCCCTCTCCCAGACTTTAAGAAAATAACTGATTCATTAATTTAATGGCATTTCAAATTTCATTTCAAACACATTCCGCAGCCCTCAAGAAAAAATATTAAACTATACTCTTGCTTGCCTAATAATTTTTTATGTTATATGTAATATAAAAACATAATAGTCATGTGCGATTTTTGTCATGGACTTACACCTTTATGAATATGGTGATGGGAAGGGGGGAGGGGGGGGGGCTCATCACACCTCTGCCGATTTGTGCTTCGTTTGGAGAGGAAAGAAGGGGAAAATATATTCAGTGTATACTATGAAATATCATTTTTCATTGTATGATTTGATCTTATACTCATCTAATATTTTTCTTTGTTTTCAGATTCGTTTCACCAATCCCTCACCACAGGGCGTATTACGCTTCGCTACGGTACCTAGGTACTTGTTTACTGTAAAATCACATATTTTCGTGGGGTCAAATTGTCGTGGTTTGAGGAAAAAAACTTTCGTTCGCAGGCATTTGATTTTGTGGATGAATAATTGTTGAGTACTAATGTATTTACATTTCGTTGTGGACATGAATTCGTGGATCTCTTTATACCTCGAAAACAACGAAAATTAACCCCCACGAAAATCTGTGATTTCACAGTAAGTAGAACGATAACTGGGCAGAGTTTGTCGTTTCACTTCGATTCTAGCCTGGTCCCCTGTCACATCATTGGCAAGTGACGCGGAGTGTACGAAACATTACAGGGAATCAGGCTATCTTCGATTCATCATTCCTAGCTAATCGGGTGGCTCGTACCTCGCACACTGACCTCGGATGTCAAGGGTGTTCTACCATCTTGCTTATTCAGTCATGTGATCTTATCTGAATTTCTTTGAAATATTATACAAAAATCTGACTTACTTTGTGGCATGCCCAACACTGCTTTTGATTTCAAAGCCTTAGAACAAAATGTAATCAAAACTTGTTTAAAATGAAGAATTACCGGTAGACAAATTAAGAAATCTTTCCGAAGAACTTAATGCAGCGCGAAATAGGAAACAAGTGAGTAGGCAGTTTCCGGTGGAGAAATGTATCAACACAGGCACGTAGCAACGGGGGGGGGGGGGGGGGGCTTGGCCCCTCTGCTTTTTTCCCAGCATTACTTATACTACATGTATAGGAAATGTTCATTGAAAGGCTGGTTGCCCCCCCCCAACTGTTTGTGATGTAAGTAAGAAAAATATAGTGTGAAAAATTGGTACTGAAAGAGGTTGACTTCATCCCTCACACCCACTAAATAGGATATTCGACTTCGGGCAACTTTTCATTTTCTTTGTTTAACTTTTTTTGCTTGTCAACTTTTTCAGGTAAGTAAATATTTTTTCTCTGGCTGCCCCCTTTCAAAAATGATGCTACGTGGCTGCATTTGATGTATATCCCCCCATTGAACACATCCATTGAAAGGAGCGTGGCGGAGTCAATTGAGAATTGCTGATTGTCGATTCGTATTTAGAAACATCTCTTTTTCCAGTAAAACTGACAGTTATATGAGGCACCATTTCTATATTTTTGAGTTATTTTCTGATATCATAAAAGATTACTTGATATCAATATTAATTGGAAGTCTTGAAAAAAAAATTACTCATGATATCAACAAAATGTGCTTGTTAAACACTAATGCCCCCGTATGTCAACATAGTAAAGGTAAAATTTTTCCAAATACAGATCAAACAGAATGCATGATACCAAAAGTAAGGCCTTCTCATAAGAATTATACAAAAAATGTTATGGCCAATGATAACGTTTTTAAAGGTAGGTCAAATTCCGCGGTTAAGGTCAAAAGGTCAAGGTTGTTTTTTTAGAAAAGAAAAGCCCAGTCACAAAGATTACATATGGGAAGTACGAAAGCCCTAGCCCTAACCGTTCAAAAGTTATTGCCGATTTTAAACATTTTTAATTGTAGGTCAAACTCCAAATCAAAGGGTCAAATTTTTTGGTATCCAATGAAAGATCTTGTCACAAGGAATACATATGTTAAGTATGAGAGCCATAGTCCTTACCGTTCAAAAGTTGTGGCCAGGGTAAGAATATTTTAAAAGTTGGTCATTTCCCAAGGTCGAGGTCGAAAGGACAAAGTTGTTGCTTTCCAACCTTGTCCATAACTTTTGAGTGGATGGGTCTGTGGCTTTCATGTTTCACAGATGTATTTTTTGTGACAAGACCTTTCTTTGGTTACCACCAAATTTGACCTTTTGACTTTGACCTTGGAGTTTGACACTTTTTACGCAAAAATTCCAAACTTTTACTCTGGCCACAACTTTTAAACGGTTGGTTAGAGGACTTTCATATTTCACATAATTATGTATTCTTTGGGACAAGACCTTCCATTAGGTACCAAAACCTTTGACCATTTAACCTTGACCTTGACCTACTTATTCAAAAGTAACCTTATACTATAACTTTTGAAGGGTCAAGGTTGGGGCTTTCATACTTCACATGTTTAATCCTTGTGACAAGACCTTTCACTGGATACCAACAATCTTGACCTTTGACTTTGATATACTTTTCCAAAACTTCAACCTTGGCCATAGCACTTGAGCGTTTAGGGCTAGGGCTTTCATATATCATATGTGTAATCCTTGTGACAAGATCGTTCTTTAGAAACCAACAACTTTGACCTTGACCCAGGAATTTGACCTACCTTTCAAAAACTTATTTTTGCCCACAACTTTTAAACATGTGGTGCTAGTGCTTTCATATTTCACAGTTGTATTTCTGGTGAGAAGACCTTTCTTGGGGGTACCAACATATTGAATTTGCATTTAGGAAAAGTTTAATCTTTGCTATGTTACCATGTAGGGGCATCAGTGATTTTCAAACTCATCTTGTTATATATATTTTAAGCTGTCAATTATTACTTGGCAAAGAAAAATTTCATATATTTTAGTTTTAAAATTTGTTCATTTTTGTACATCTTTATATGGAGTTCTGATAAAAGGAGACCAAAATAGTCTGAAAATGACAACAACCTCCCAGCCCTCTTAACTTTGTTAATGGACAAATGTTTGGGTGACGGAATCACCATTACTTCATCAAATTTTAGTTTCAAATTATCATCCTTCTTGGGTTCTCAGTGTGTTTCATTTAAATATATAGTATACTCAAAGCAAGATTCCAAAAGAAGTGATAGTTTGTTTAATTTATCAGAAGAGCAACTCAGGCCCTTAGGCCTCTCGTACAGTTATTGACTGGATATAAGGGTAACATATGAATTGTTGAAACTACAGGGAGGAATATTGACAAAGGCTGTAGGCCAACAGCAACTTTTTTCACCTTCGGGTCCAACTACTAATATGTTTACCTAATCAGTGTCTATAACTGTTTTATTCTTTATACCCATCACTAAATATAGAACACTAAAGTGAAAACCTTTGATAATAATAATAATAATAATAATAATAATAATAATACTTTATTTAGAGAAGGTGGCCTGATTAGTGTGACACACTATTCTTCCTCAGGGCCTTCTAATTACAACAACAATATTACATCAAATTAGCAAAGATAAACAACTTAGAAAGTGAGTTATAATACACGTATTATACACAATGTCACGTGATAATAATGATAATCATAATAAAATAGTAATAATAAACAAAGATCTTTATCCCATGTTTAACCCTTTATCCCGTTGATATAGCTCATGTGATATCATTTTCGTATCACACAGTTGTGACGTCACAATGGATTTTGCGTTAGAGTGATGAAGTAAAATGAAGTGGAGTCCTATATAAAAACAGTGCTAAACATTGTTTTTGGTGTAAAAAACATGGGATAAAAAGAATCTCACATGATTTGTAGTTGGATATGATTTTTATCCAACTCGTGTTTTTATTCCCTCGCCAAGGCTCGGGGATAAAACCCACACAACTCGTTGGATAAAAATCATATCCAACTACAAATCATGTGAGATCCTATACATATTTATATGACATAAAAAGTAATATAACGTCACATGAGTTAGATTTAACATTGTATAATTATATACATGTGCAAAAGATACACATAAATCAGAGTAATAAAGTTCTGCTGTTGAAGATATACTTTTCTACATTTCGTTTAAAGATTGGCAGAGTTGGTGCATATTTTATATCTATAGGTAAATTGTTCCAAATATAAACACCCGAATATTGAAGTGAATTTCTTAAAAAAATTGTTCGGTGTTTTGGTAGGCGAAGGTCAAAATTAGATTCTGAACGTAAAGTATAAGCATTAGAAGTTTGACAAATAAATAAATCTTGCAAGTAAACCGGGCTCTGATTGTTAAATATCATGTACAACAAAATACATTTATGCAAAGTTACTAAGTCAAAAACAGATAGCCACCCTAATTTTGCAAATAATGCCTTAGATGGAGCATCAAGTATAATTCTAGCGGCCAAAGAGTAGGCTCATTGGGGGCCGCCAGAGAAACCAAAAACTTTCAAAACCATTCATAAAATATTTAAATTTCTCCGCCGAAATATGGCTGAAATATTGCCGACTCGGCGTTAAAAAACAATAAATCAAGCAATCAATCAATCCAGCGGCCCGTTTTTGGAGCTTAGGGATTCTCTCCATGTAACTACGTGGTGCATTACCCCAGACAGTCATACAGTAATTAATAGAAGGCAGGATAAAGGCTTGTAAAAAGTTTTCTAGTTTTCAAAGGAGGAAATGTAAGAAATTTGAAGAAATTTAATCAGTATATAAACAATTACTTTATCGTTAATATTCAGGTTTTTCTATAAAAATGACACAAAACAAAACGAAGGTAAAATGAAATATTTTTTTAAAAGTGTTACATGTATATCACATACATCATCTAATACAGCACATTTTTTCCATGAAGGCATCCGTCCAGCATTTTAAAGTGTAATATGTGTATTATTATGCGTATTTAAAAACATAAAAAATATGAAAGAAAGTAAAGATAGAAACATGTTGGACTCGAAATTCACCATGTTTATTTTCGAATACTAGTAATCATACCACTGCGCCAACTAAGTCATTGATGTCGGTTAGATAAATTTAAGATAAATTGCTTAATCTTACGATAATATGAGAAGAAAATATTAATATATATTTTCATCATTTTCAATTTGAAGACAACCTTAAACCAAAATTATCTAAACGTAATAAAGTGCAGTCATATCTAAATGAAATTATTCAAAAATTGTTTTTCTGGTTAAGATTGGTCTTTGGCAGCAGTTTGTCTTGGTAAAGCAAACATGAAACAACTCAAAACAGATGCAAAAACTATATTAATAAAGTTATTATGTAGAGTTATCTATTTTCCAGTGCACCTAAAATCAACATTAGTGTATGTACATTTCATATATAATTTAAGCAGACTGATTCATATTTAATTTTGGACTCGAAGCTGCCTTGCAATAGTTTTTTTTTCTTAAAATGCCTTTAAAGATTAACTTTATTGAACATTTGACCAATTCATCTTCCATAAACCGTGCATGAGTATATATGCACTTTAACCAATGCATGCTCAGGTAAATGTCATTTTATAATTTCTACATAGTCCTAACAGAGTTTGTTCGAGGATATCTATTATGTATCATTTTATATAAAATATTTAAACAGAATATCAAGCAAAAGTAAAACACTTCAAAATTGTTTTTGGCATAAATTTATCAATATTTATATGTACGTAGACCTGTATTAGTAATTCGAATGTAGACTAGATACCAACTTGAGGTAGATTGTCCTGGTCTGATCATAAGTTTTGAACTTGGGTATCTTAGCTTTTCTGTCGTCTTTAATATTCGGCGTTCGGTTGTATTCTAGACGCATTCCGAATCAACTTAATGATTTCCATCTTTTTTTAATACAGGGCGTATGCCTTTTAATCATCATTCTAAACCAAAGGTATCACTGTTTTTCATGGGACCACAGATGTTTTCTTAAGAAAGAAACCAAAGTCTGGAATGAGTGGTTATCAGACTCCTCGAAGTTCACATCCTTCCCCCCTTTAAGTTGCAAACGAAGGTGAGGATGTCCTAAAAGTGAAAATTAAAACATTCTGAAAGAACATAGTACCAATGTACATTTGATTTATGATTACAGTGTATTAACCGTTTGATTTTTAATATCATAATGATAAACGAACTACTGAATTACAATTATAATTCCTTCATACCATTAACATTGAAAATATGGAAATCATCTATATCTGACAACGCAATTTGTGTGTCCCGCTCGGAACCCAATGAAAGACTTGGCGGATACCCGGACAATTCGAAGAAAAGTTGCTTCTTTTCCCCATCATTCTTGATAAGTAGAATGTTTCCTATTAAAAAAATCAAAGGTATTAAGAATAACGTTTGCTTTATGAAATTGCAAGGATGTATTAATCAAAAGCGTCCAAAATTCTCATTTTTAATAACTTCCATATAAAGTAAAAATTTATTACATTTACTTTGAAATGCTAAAGCAACATATACATCATATTATACTTAAAATTTGATAAATTTTAACTTGATATCTGTGTCTAAGCACCTTTAAAGACGAACTTGACTCGTCTCTCCTGGTGATGCAAAAAGTATAGAATGCGCGTATGAGAATATTTTTATGAAAGTGTGATTTAACATTTTCCGTTTCCATTTTATTGCTTATTGAATAAGGAAGTCTTGTTAAAACCACACTGAAGTTAATATTTTGAAAGCTATTATTCTCTAGTTTTCATGATGATTTACGTATTAAATTCAAAAACAAAAAATCTAACGTTACTGACCTTTTGGAAACAAAGCTAAGCTTTCTTCTGACTTTGCTGGAAGTTGAATCTGGCCTAAAGTTTGATTGCAATTTTCGGGAAGTGTTTGTATGAAATCCAAGAAAAAATTTACAATACTTGAAGTATTTACACTGGAGAGAAATTCACATCTAAATCGAAATTCTAATTCTACGGTGTTTTTCGTCAAATTATGCTTTGCATAGAGATATGTTTCACAATCCATATCTGTATTCATTTCCAACGACTTAAGATGTATGCATTGCTCATCATCATCTTCCAAAGAGTCAAAAACGAAGTAATTTTTCATATGAATACTCCGATCGAATTCTTGAAGGTCCATGATTTCTACAAATGGCAACAGACAATGACCCATACATTGTTCTACAACAGTTTTATTCTCCATCAGAATATCAATGACTTTTACAAAAGAATCCTCAAAATTGGGTGATACAAGGGGAATCAGATTCGCACACGGCAAAATTACATCTCGACATTCCGCAAACTGTGAGCGCAGATCAATCTCCGTTAACAGAGAAATTCGTTCAGCAAAAGTGATTTTGTTTAATGTCATCTGAAAGGCACTGCACACAATGATAAACATTGTCAAATCATGTTTTTCTGCGAATTCAATTAGAGATTTCGGAATTCTGATTGATAATTTCTTATTTTCAAATTCAGAGTACTTTGGATTAGATTTCCAACAGCAGGGTGTCTTACATCTCTGTAGCTGGTTTTTCCAATATTCTGTGCACTTTTCAGCAATTCCATGCAATTTGTTTGCATACACAGGTAGGATATCAATGTTTGGTTTATCAAACCAAGCTGGAACGGGTTGTGATGCAAGAATATGCGCTGCGATCTTTTGTAAGTCATGCAGAATAATTTTAGCACAGAAAACATCTAGTCCAACTCTGTTGCAAGAAATGTGAAGTTGAGCTTTACTATCTACATCTTCATGTATCACGTATAGAATATCATTAGTATTTTGTAACACAAAACCAGGGGAAATCTTTGTTTGCACACATTCAAATGGACAAGTAAAGTCCTCACTATCAACAATACTGTTAGAATCTTGCAATGACGAGTCGTTTTCAGAACTTTTTACTCGTAAGTTAGGGTTCATTCTACAAAAGATATCGACTACATTTTCCCAAAAGATTGGCTGATTTTTCGATTTGGATATAGCAAACGTCGCAACAAATGAGCAGTTCTTATAAATGTCTTGAAAACTCTTTAAATGTTTTTCTACAACAGACATTGTCTTAGATATGGATTGTACCTCTTCCGGTGATTCAATAGATTCTCTGCGCAACATTTCTTTTTCACTCAAAAATTTGGCAATTTCTAATACTGATAATTCTCCTGACAATAACAGTACGATCGGAATCCTAATACTTGTTTCAGAAAATATCATATTTGTAAATTCGACAACATTTTGAGAATCTAGTCCAAATTGAGATAATGTGTGCCTGTCTGTAATTTCTGAAATATCAACCATTAGAACCTGTGACGAAGTTTTCTTTACAAGATCCACAAAATTTTGAATCGGTTCGTTGTTCTCTTTGTCATTTACAAGTTCCTTCAAAATCGATACATCAGCAAAATGTACAATGTCAGTTATCTTTGAATTTTCCTTTTTACTGCCTCTAGCTTTGACGAATTTCTTTAAATCAAAATCAAAAATAATTCCTTGTGTTTGATCTGACAAAAGCATTTGTGTTAGAACACGGTAAACTTTGTCGACAGACATCAAATTTATTCCTTTGTGAAAAAAGAAATCTTTCAATTTAGGGTCGGATCCTAAACCAACTTCTAATGCACCCCAGTTTATCACCTGTGCCGGGAGTCCTAACGACTTACGGTAGAAAGCAAAGCTGTCTAGGAATGCATTTGCTGCGGCATAATTGCATTGCGAGTGACTTCCGAATATGGAAGACGCACTTGAGTGCAAAATAAAGAAATCAAGATTCATTTCCTTTGTGAGATGGTGCAGATTCCAGGTTCCTTTTATCTTAGCCATAAGGGGTACATCAAAATCCTCAATCGACATTTTTAAAACTGTTTGATCTTGCAACACTACCGCTCCTTGGAAAACACCTCGAATAGGAATATAGGGCATTTGTTGTTTGATGCAGCTTATCACTTCTGTGAGCTTGTCCAAATTACATATGTCGACTTCTTTGTGTATAACATCAACACCATGGAGATGTTTAATGTTCTGAATGCGTTTTTTATTTTCATTAGAGAGTGAACGTCTGGAAAGCGATACTATGATCTTTGCTCCTCTTCTTGATAGATACTTGACGATTGTCCATCCTAACCCAGTCATCCCTCCAACAACGATATAAGCAGAGTCTGCTCGAATTAGATGTTCGTCTGGTATTCTTAACTCGATGTCATTTAAGATTTCATTGATTTCTAAGAGATTGGGAGTTGGAGAGTCTAGCTTTTTATCATTACTTAAAATTGCTAGTAATCTTTTTCTAAGTGATGTTACTTTTCCACACTTTGGATGAAATAAGTCAGCAACATTGATAACATCAAAGAAGCATAGATTGTGATCCATGAATATACTTGGTATTCTACCTTTTAAGAAAATGCATTTTTGTACATTTGGGAAAAGAAGACGGAACATGTGAGGATCATCATAGCCCTCTTCAGACAACACAACTAGTTGAACTGCTTCGAGATTCTGCCTTTTCTTTGAGTATGCAGTCTCACAACATGATAAAATGCATTTCTTCTCCTCAAGAACAGAAACAAGAAAATGAAAAACCGTGGAATATTTTTTACTATAATCGATGAACACAAATGCTTTTTGTTCCACTAAATCTGCAATGGCTAATGCAATTATCACTGCGTGCAAGCTGCCTAGGCTATATCCAGCTAGACTCGTTTTTTCGAAAACGCATTTTTTGTCCACTCTGATTTCTGATTTAAGCTCAATCTGCCCAAATGCTACTACTTCTAGTTCTTTGCCATCAACATTTGTTATACCAACAACTTCACAAGCGGTTATACCAAAACCTTTTATTCTATTTTCTGAACAGTAATGCTCAGGAATAAAATTGTCCTGGATGAAAAAAGTATCCGGTATGCAGGGAAGAGCATGCGTTGGTCTGATGCAATAAACATCAAGAGAGGATGAATCTTCAACACAAGGTATAGCAAAATAAGATGGCATGCCTTTGTCGAAGTTATATCTCAGACACATATTTTCTTGTTTTTTTGGAAAACCTGATTTAAACACCGTCTGGTGAAATTCGTCAGGCATTCTCTTTAGTTCATTTTTATAAATAACGTTTTGGCGTACAGCATACTCAGAAGGAGCAGACGAAGTCCCAGGATCCAATTCCGTTATAATTTTTACAATGTAGTTCATTGAATTCTCATTGAGGTCCTCTATATCTAGCAATGTGAAAGAGAGCTGTGTCCCCTCCTGTGAAACAGCTCGAACCATTCCCCATAATTCAGCGCCAATAACCCGTGTTTGACTAGACTGGCAAGCCTGTGCTTCGTTTGTTATGACTAAAGTGTGAGACGCATATTCGTAAAGTATTTTTACAAGTTCGAGAAAATAATGGGTGGTTTGTTTTACAGCGTTCATCAGCTCCTCTCCGGTTGTGTGTGTTTCTATTCCTGGTAATCCTGGGATATAAATAACATCAAAATTCCGCATCTCGGCTTTCCCTTTTAAGAATAATGAAAACTGGTCCTCTAAATTGTCTGATAATGTCAGGCAACGTATATCTGAATTCCTAAATCTCTTTAAAAAAGCATATTCTAGAAGTGACAAATATTCTTTATTCCAGGAAAGTAAATAAAGTGTTTTTCCTAGCGAAACACTTAAATGCGGTAAACTTATTGCATTCCAAGTTTCGCTGTAAGAGATCGAAAAAATGTCGCCTTCCGTATCAATTTTGGTAACCTTGTAATTTGTCACTTCGGCGACAATACTTCCATCTGTATGTAGAAGAAGAATATTAAAAACTGCAATCACTGAATTTTCATAGACAAGAACTGTATAGCATATCATACGTGCGGACGGTTTTTGTCTTACAGTGAAACAGGAAACTTGTCTAGGAAAAGTTCGCACTTTCATTCGACTCTTCTTTTGAAAATGAATCCCACAGCAAGACTGAAACATGCTGTCTATAATTATCGGATGAAAGAAAGCCTTGTTTAGATTTCTCAATACTTCATCAGGCAGAATAACTTCACATATGCATTCATTTCCGCGACAAACACATTTCTTTATTGTTTGGTACAGTTCGCCATGATGAAATCCAAGACTTTGCAAAGTTGGGTAAACATTAGTTGTGTCTTTTTCATTTTGTAATAAAGATATGAGCCTGTTAATGTTCAGTGAAGTAATTCTTGGAGCACTTGACTGTTTCATCGTACCAGTGGACAATATTGGCTGATTTTCATTTGAAATTGCTTCAAAATGAACAATATCTCCCTTTTCAAATGTTTTCACTACGATAGGTTGTACTGCATCTTTGATGATTTGTGTTCTGTGAATGGTCCAGGAAATGTCTATTTCTGTCACTCCTCTGCTCAGGAAAATTGATGTTCCTAATTCCAAAGCAATATTTCCATACAGTGCACCTGGTACAACTACATTTCCGTCTAAAGTATGGGCATAAATAAATGGTGCATTCTTTCGACTCAAAGTAATCGTAAATTGCTCAATATTTCCATTTCTCATTCTGGTTAACATACTAGATTTTTCGTACTCTTCATCCCCATTTAGTATCCTCTTCATTTTCTCGGACTTCACAAGATACTTACGTTTGCTGAATTGGTATTTTGGACAGGGGAATAATTTCTGAATTGGGACGATATTTTGCCATGCAACTGGGAATCCGTTTTCAAAAATAGTAATAAAAGTTTCTCTAAAAACATCGATTTCATTGTTTCGTTTCATGGAAGGCAGCGCTTCTTCTACAGTTTCGGGAAATATGTTTGACAGGTGGGTTCTCAAAACAGGACTTGGGCCAATTTCAAGAAAAATTGAATTAGGGAAAGTGCGTTTTGCTTCCTTTAAAGCATCTTGAAAGTGTACAGGTTTGAATACATTGTCAGCCCAGTAAGAATTTGATCCAAAGTTTTCATCTGCTCTTTGTCCGGTGACTGTTGATATAATTGTTGTCCTTGGGCATTTTTTCTCCAGGCCTGATAGAATTTGTTCCAACATTTTACTTGCATCTTTTGTCAAATGACTATGATATGCACACTTTACATTTAAAGGTATGATTCTTCCTGATTTGTTAGCGAGTTTTACTTTTAATTCTTCAATAGCGTCTGTATCACCCGATACTGCACATGAGACACTGCTGTGATAGACTGCAATATTTGCTTTTCCGGTCGTAAGATGCTTACACGTTTCTTCTATGACGTCGAGAGGACAATGTTGAACAAGAACCATTTTTCCAAAGGTTTCAGACAAATGAAGAGACCGAAAATAAATTACTTTTACAGCGTCTTTTAAGGAAAGATTTCCGCCTGCATACGCCCCTGCAACCTCTCCAACAGATTGACCAATTATAGCGTCTGGATGGATACCCAAATGTTTCCACATCGCTGTTAGACCAACTTGACAAGCAAAGATTGATAAATGGTTTATCAAAGGGTCTGAGATATCTCCCCCTGTTTCAAAAATCATACGAAGAGAAATGTCGTTGTAAGAACTCAGATGGTCATCTATTTCTCGTACAGTGTTTTCGAAGATTTTATCTTCAGTAATGAGTTGTTTACACATTTCTGGCCAGGTTGTGCCAACACCACAATATACAAATATCATTTTCGGTATTTCTCTCTTAGCAGCTGTAGGATGTAATTTTTTCTGTACAAATTCCTCAACTTCTGAAACAAACTTTGATACGTTTTCAACAACAAAGACTTTGCGAAGTTTATAGTGACTTCGAAAATGAATTGATGTGCTAGAAAGATCGACCATTGAGACTGTAGGCAAGTTATCTAGAACGAACTGAAGTAGATGGTTGGCTGTATTAAATAATGCACTCAAGTCCTTTGCTGACAAGAGAACATAAAATGTCTTACTAAGGCAGCTTTTCATGTTTTGTACTTGAACAGAAGCTCCACTTTCTTCATGGCTCCTGACGATAGCGTGTGCGTTCGTTCCTCCATAACCAAAGCAGTTTACTGAAGCTATTCTCTTCCCCTTGGCATCTGCAGACCACTTCTGAAGACTGTGACTAACTTTCATTTTACAAGCACTAAATGGTATTTGGGGGTTTAATATTTCAGCATGAAGTGAAGGAACGAAAAACCCGTATTTCATCATCAAAAGAACTTTGATCAAAGAGGCCATTCCAGCACCTGCTTCTAAGTGACCAATATTTGTTTTAACTGAGCCTATCGGTATTTCTTCTTCACAATACTTTGAAAAAAAAGATCCTAGTGCCATCACTTCTATATAATCGCCAATTGGTGTCCCTGTCCCTGAAAAGTACACTTTCTCATTTAAGAATAAAAAATAAGAAGAGGCTTAAGGACAATGATGCTCACCTGACTAGACATGACCCTTCTTTTTTCACATGATTTTACCCTTCTTTTCGTTCCGATTAAAAATAGACATCATATTTTGGTAAGATTCTAGTCCTGAGGGTCATAAATTTAACCAAACAGCAGGAGGATGTACCACTTTGACAATCATGGTTTAGCTGTTCTTGAGAAAAAAAACTTTTTTGTAGTAGTACATTGTACAATTTGTAATAGTGATTATCAGTTGGAGGTCCATTCTAATCCAAGGATACATAACAATAAAAATTATTTTCATGCACGTTAAATGTTTTATATTATAATGATTCAGTGTTGCTCTGCTATTTGTGAAAAGTATAATTTCTGATGTATTCCTATTTAAAACTCTGATCACCACAGGGAGAAAAAAAATTCATTCAATTGAAGTGGCACTTATTTGGGTTTCTTGATATTATTACCACACATCATAGCCCTGCTGTTCTTGAGATGATAGTTTTCAGAGATTTAAAAGTTGATCTGAGTATATGTACGCAAATGTATGACCATGTAAAAATGTCGTAAACTTTTTAAACAAGTTTTTCTCCAGAGCCACAGGACCAATTTCATAATTGGGGCAAAGCTTTTGTACAAGGGAGAATTATTAAGAAATAAAAAAAAATAGTAGGTTCATTTAAAATCCTCTAAAGAACCGCTGAGAAAAAGATGACATTATGAAAATTTAAGTTTGTACACAGCGGTTGGGTCGGGCAGTTATAAGCTACAGAACTGTAGCTCTCCGAATAAAATAATATTGACATATCAGAGAGCTACAGTGCCACCCATTGAAACAAGAGGCCCATGGGCCGCATCGCTTATCTGAGTAACTTTGGCCATGCTATTTTTTTTTTACAAGATTTCCCCTTTGTAATACCTATAATGATCCTGTCCTACCCCCAGGGGTCATTTATTGGAGAATGTAGAATCTACACTACCCCAAGATACTTCAACATTAGTTTCAGCTTTTCTTTCCCAACGGTTCTTAAGAAGATCTTTAAAGAATTTTCCTATATACTTCAATGTAAAACTTGGATTCCCTATTGTGGCCTCACCCTACCCGAGGGAGGATGTTTTGAATAATTTAGAATCTACACTACCCAAGAATGCTTCCACATAAGTTTCAGCTTTTCTGACCAAGTGGTTTTGGAGAAGATTTTTAATGCCCCCGTTAAAATTGACCCAGTTGTATTGAGAGGAAGTTGAAAATATGAAAAGTTTAAAGACGGACGGACAGCTGGATGGACGACGGACAACGGGCGTTCAGAAAAGCTCACTTAATCTTTCAGCTAAGGTGAGCTAAAAAAAAGTGTATATTTATTGATAAAAAGTGCGCTGTTTCTCGATTTATTTCTTCATATATTTAAGATGTTCCTTACACATTTCTTCACTACTTACACAATTAAATATTCCATGAAATCGTTGTTTATAAACCTGTTGGGTCTGAAATTAAGTCTCTCGAAAATTTCATTTGTTTATTCGACTATTTTTAATCTCAAGACAATTTGATCAAACGCGCATCGGACGTGACTGGTACATAAAGCTGGAAATACAAGTAGTAATAAAATAGTATACAGTTATGGAATGGGTACGAGGGAAATAGCAAATTTATGGTTGCCCGAGGTAGGAAACTATTTCCCGAGGCGGCGAATTCCATAACTGTTTTATTATACCAAAACAATCATAGGGTGATTTAATTTTTTTTTACCAGATATTCCGACATTTAAAAAAAGTACTATAGAGGCATAAGTTAAGTACAAATGCATACGGTTAAACAGATTGTATGATAAGTAATGAATCGTGTCCTAAAACAATTAAATTATTTTTTAAAAGTATTTTCATTGACATTTCGAAGATAACGTTATCTTCATTTTGCTAGTATTCGAGTATGATTTTGACAACGCATGTCGAAATGTTTTGACGTCATAGTTACATTACTAATAGCATGACGTCACAGACTCGAGATTTCTTGAACGCTCCGCCCACTGAACACTTTGATTGGTCAAAATTACTAATAAATATTCATGAGGGAGTAGTCCCAAGGAGTAGCTCTGCTTTTCCAGGGAGTAGTCCTCGGATGAGTGAAAAATTCTCTTCTCGGGGAAATAGACAGTTTTATGGTATTACTTTTAGGGTGAGTTGGGTTACAATGGATAATAAAGTTTTACATGCCCTAAATGTATGTAGAAAATATTCACACATTAAAATCAGCGATGCCATGCCCATATATAAACTTCGTGTAATGTAGATTTAAATTTGATAAACTCATGGTCTTAGGGGTAGGGTGGAAACACAAGCTACACTTGAAGAATGGAGATTGTGTTGTTACCCCCTCCCCCTTACCAGCTTCTGCGATTTCTTATTAAGCATAAAAACTTATGAATACTAGTAATACATTAATTCTTCCTATGAATCTTTTCTATATCTTTTCTATATTATTATCATTATTATTATTCTTATTATTATTATTATTATATATTCTACCACGATTATTGAAAACATCAACATTAGCAGTAAAACAGGAACATGAATTTCTTATTGTATAAATTATTCATTTTAACTGATCAATACATATTATGAACAAATTTGTAATTTAAAAAGGCTGTTTTTAATGTAACGAAAGCTCAAATCGTCTGCATTCTATACACAGGTGAGCAAACAAATTTTACCTCTGGTGTTAAATGAAACAGGGTAATCGAGACATGGTGACCTAATTCGTTTCTCTATAGAGGAAACGACTATCCGTAGTTTAGCGATTGTAGTTATACATGGTAGAATAGAAATGAAGTCCTTGTTGTCGTGAATGATGCAGAATAACCTCCTCGGTCTCGAAATGTTGTTTGAAAAAATAAAAGCCTCGCCTAACGCCTCGGCTTTTATCTTTCAAACAACATTTCTCGACCTCGGAGGTTATTCTGCAACATTCACGAAAACGCGGACTTTATTTCTTAAATAAACGAATAATAATAAGTTATAATTATAATAATAATTGAATAGGTTATATAGTAAATAAAATAAATGATTTCCTATCTTTCCTGTATTACAACATCTGATATCGTTTTTGCTTTTGTATAGTTTTAGAGATTTGCTCTATATGGTATATCCACTACTAAAGGCAGGAAACAAAAACACAGGGTGTCCTGCTTCCAGGGAAATTTTCAACGTCAATACTATACTGACAGTCAAAAGAAACGCAACATCCTCAGGGGGGGGGGGGATTATATACAGGTTATTACTAGGTACCCAAAAAGTCTTTAACTTTGCCAAATCAATTATTCAACGGTTGAATGATTTTCATTACATTACCAGAAGTTGCTTTTAGCCCTCTTAACAGAAATCAAAATTTTGCATTTTTAATAAAATATTTAACAAAATTTTGGGTTTTCAAGGTTTTGTAGCTGTTAATCATAAGTATTGTACTAAAATCCTGGGAAAAAATCCTTTCCTTTCGGGATGTGATGCCTATATTTCCTTAAAATGACTGATAGCATTTCATTGCTAATGCTGGAAATGGGTTTTTGCATTTCTTTTGACTGTCATTATACTTAACCAATTGAATTAATGCAAGATGAAATTCGGGGAGATATTGCTTAACTATCCTCTTATAGTCACAATCGGTTAAAATGATTTATCTGTCCTGAATTCGCGTTAATATACATGATTTTGTCTAATTTCTCTTCACTGGCATCAAAACAGGAGATGTTGCTAGTACATGTAGGTTGTAGAATATTTCCAAGGGGTTTCGATTAGCTATATCGGGAAATTTTATTTAGCAAAATATTTAAGTAGTACAAGATGACCTCTGTTAATCAACAATCTACATACGAATGCATAAAAATCTTATCCTCAAGAACGGCGAAGCCATGATCAGTCACATGTATACAAAAGCATATTCCGTAGTTAAGTAAATTCAAGTCTGTTCAAATTATGATCCCGAGGATAGGGTTGGGCTACAATTGGCGATTAAAGATTTACTTAAGAAAATGTAGGAAAAGAAATCTACTGATAAAGATCAAGAAGGATCATTGTTAGAAAGGTAATGTCGTGTCCCATAAGCCTTTCCATAACCAATGGTTTGAATACGGAATTTCCTGATTATTTCTGTTCTTATGTTAAGCCTTAAGTCCTTTGCATAAAATTTTTATTTGCTATTTATATTTGTTGTCAATATTAATATTTCTTTTCCTCCTTACCATGTGCTTCAACGTATTGTACAGAGGACGGTGACGTCTTGCTTTCTTTGAAAATTTGTTCTAACAAACGCTCTTGCTGTTTGCCAGAAGGGGATGTAATTGGAGTACTCATATGGCCATCCTGATTCAGCTTCGTATAGATTGTCCCCCATATCTTGTTTTTGTCGTGGATTGCCTTTTAGAAAAAAAGAATTATTCCATCTCGCAAATTTGTAAAAATACAAAATGAAAAATGTTCAACTTACGTTTGTAAGTCTTTTTAACAACACAACACCACATCCTTCCCCACGGGCGTATCCATCTGCCTCGACTGAAAAGGTGTGACATTTCCCTGTTGGCGAAGCCATTCGTGCGCATGACAAGCCAATAAAAGTATCTGGATCTAGAATGACATTGACTCCACCGCAAATAGCCATCGATATTTCACCTGTTTGATATAGAATGAATAGTATTTTGTTTTCTAAATTGGATAAAATATCACTTCCAAATGATTTTGATGACATGCATTTTAATTTCTGGATATTTTCAATTAGAGATTTATTATATACTATCTTTTCCCTTCAAAGATGAAGCATACAATCGTCATGTATGTCCCACTTGATGCACAGTGTATATGTTTGTCTAATGTAGCCTTTTTCAATTCTGTTTTATATAAATTTTTTAAATACCGTGATATTTAGTGAGGTTCTATAGTTCGTCACAGCGTAGTATACTGTGGTTCGAAACGCCGATAATTCACTGAGAAATCTTTCACATACATGTACAAGGTGTACATTCCATTAAAGATGGAATGTATACTTTTTCAAGCGACTAGGGCTGATAAGTTATTCTTTATTTTCATTTCATCTGTTGCACAGGATACAACATAGAAATTGTTAAGTAAATCATAACGTCTTTTGACAAGTGACGTGCGAAACTTTGAGGGATGAATCATACACTTTGATAAAGGATCAAAGATCGGATTTTAATCTAGATTATTCAAATGAACACATTTTGAAGATTTTTTAAAAAAAATAAATCAATAATATGTATTAACTAGAGCAAAAGTTTGTATGTGGATGGGGTTGGATTAATTTAAAGTTCAAGAAACTATCCATCTTTATGATCAAAGCTTTGTTATGTTACAAAATATTCACCATTTTTCAATGCCTGCATTGCTGTATCAATTGCCACCATTGAAGAAGAACAGGCTGTGTTAATCGTCAATGCAGGTCCTAAGAGGTTGTAGAAGTAAGCCACTCTTGCAGATAGAATACTGGTATCAACACTTGTTACTGAAGTATTCCTGCTGTTTTCATTAGTAACACGAAGTAAACTACCCCAGTCATTATTCAGTCCTCCTGCAATAATCATCGGACCACTTATTTATGAGCCCCAAATACTTTTATCATATCACATGAAACACTTAGCATACAGATTCAAATCAAACTGAATCGGGGGATATATGACCTGCCTCGCTTTGTGGACAAAATATTCTGAGACAATAAAAACAAGAGGCCCATGGGCCACATCGCTTACCTGAGTAACTTGGGTGATGCAGTTCTTACCAGATTCCCCCTCTTGCTATACCTATCATGCCCCACTACCCCCTTCCCTTTTATGATTTTAAGAATTTAATATCTACACTACCCATGCTCCCATATAACTTTCAGCTTTCCTGGCCCAGTGGTTCTTGAGAAATAGATTTTTAAAGATTTGTTCTATATATTTCTATGTAAAACTTGGATTCCCTATTGTGGCCCCGCCCTACCCCCGGGGGTCATGGTTTTAACAATTTAACATCTACACTATTCAAGGATGCTTCCACATAAGTTTCAGCTTTCCTGGTCCAGTGGTTCTTGAGAAGAAGATTTTTAAAGATTTGTTCTATATATTTCTATGTAAAACTTGGATTCCCTATTGTGGCCCCGCCCTACCCCCGGGGGTCATGATTTTAACAATTTAATATCTAAACTATTCAAGGATGCTTCCACATAAGTTTTAGCTTTCCTGGCCGAGTGGTTCTTGAGAAGAAGATTTTTAAAGATTTGTTGACAGTTCTATATATTTCTATGTAAAACTTGGATTCCCTTTGTGGCCCCGCCCAACCCCCGGGGGTCATGATTTTAACAATTTAATATCTACACTACCCAAGGATGCTTCCACATAAGTTTCAGCTTTCCTGGCCCAGTGGTTCTTGAGAAGAAGATTTTTTAGTGACCCCACCCTATTTTTGTGTTTTCTTGATTATCTCCCCTTGTAAGGACTTCGCCCTTCATTTTAACAATTTAAACTCCCTTTAACCTAAGGATGTTTTGTACTAAGTTTGGTTAAAATTGGTCCATTGGTTCTTGAGAAGAAGTCGAAAATGTGAAAAGTTTACAGACGGACGGACAGCTAGACAGACAGACAGACGGACGGACGGACGACGGACAAAATGTGATCAGAAAAGCTCACTTGAGCCTTCGGCTCAGGTGAGCTAAAAACTGTGACATTGACCTTAAAATTTGAGATTATTTGAAAATCAGCGTGGATGATGTTTTAGAGGTCCTTATTTGTTTTGCCCCCGAATTACCGGGGTATATTGATTCAATGGATTTTTCAGCTTGATTACTGTTCGTTACCTTCCTATTGCATGCCATAAATGATTTCTGGATTTACATTAAAAGTGTCTACACGTAAAAATATCAGAGGTTGGATTAGTTGTCACGAAAGGGTAAGCATATTTTGCATCCCTATTAAAATACTTTTACTTTAAAAAATCTTGTATAATCCTCTTATTCATATGCCTAAACAAAAACTTGACCATACAAGTGTTTCAATATTTCTGAATCTGGTAAAAATACACTTGCTTATTATTTGTATATTACTTGCTTCCTACATGAAGATTCTTACAATCACAGAAGATGTCTTTATATTTTTAAATTTACAATAAACTCAACATGGTCCAGCAGTAATGTCAGAGCCCTTACCTCGAATGTTCAATTTTTTGGAAGAAGCAAACTTGCCCATGATAAAAATGCTCTGTTTACTTCACACCGAGAGGAAAAAGATATTTTCAGGAAAATTGTTACTATAGAATCAACAGAGCCCCTCATTCTTTCAACACCAGAACTCCTTACCATAGAGGCATTATTGTATTTCTGCTAAATAATGCAATTCCACTCAACAGAGTCGTGCTTCAAAATCAAAAATCCGAACTAAGAAGCTATGTATCTTATAATTAAGAAGAGACATTCTACCTCATCAAAACCATGACATTAGATTTAATTTACTAAATATATTGTACCTGGGAGGGGGGGGGAGAAGATATTAAAAGAACATACATTTTTCAATATCTTATCTATAGATCCCTGCTCTAACATCAAAATCCTCAGCCAGGAGCAATAAAAATCTCAGTTTTGGAAGAAGCATTATTATGATTAATTATCATAACCATGCACTTAGTTTTAAACTCAGGAGCTGAATACATGATTTCCCAACAAATTATGCATAATCAAAAAAGCATCGCCTTAATACCACTTAAACCAGATCCCCTGGCATAGAGGGCAGGAAATGTACAATCCTGGGAGAGGAGCTATTTTCCATCATACGCATGCACTTTGTTTCTTGAATATCCACAAGAACAGAAGATTTTCAAGGAAATAATACACTTTCGGAATGTAAACCATATTGATCCCCCTCCCCCTTCAACATCAGAACCTCTGAACCTGAGGCCAGAACTTACACATTTTGGAACAAGCATCCATGTTCATCATAAACTCCCTAACTAGTTTGTCTGCTAAATATCCCGGGGGTAAAAACGATTTTTGTAGAAATTTTGCATTTTTACTACATGATTATAAGAGTCCCTTTTGACTCTAGAGTCCTTGACCCTAGGGCCATGAATGCCCCAAAACTTAGCTCTTATTACAAATATGTCAACAGTTTGTCTGCATGATCGCCGGAATGAAGAATTTCAAGATTTTTAAGGAAGTACTAATTTTGATGGTTTTTGCCCCATCCCTCAAGCCCCAAGAGGTAGGGACCATGGAATTCACAATTTTCATACTCTTTTATCCATTAAAGCTATATGTATATATCAAAATCGTCTAAAATTGGTTCGCAACGTGTTTGGGGTTCCTCATTCCATATTCCGCATATTCACACATGCGTACCTATTATAACATTTTAACATGGCTAAAGAAAAAAACTTCGATAATTTTAAAAGACTGAAAATACACATGTAGAGGAAAACAAAGTCGGTCCATGCCAATTTTCCGACCAAAATTTATCGATGAGAGATTGCCATGATCGTTAGTCGAGGAAGAAACGGGATCAATTAAATGGAACTGCCCTGAAAATAATTTTAACGTTTAATCGTATAATTTGATGATATCCATCTCGGGCCCCAATATAAAGAAACGTCAATATATGTACTTTAAATTATAACAAGCAAATTCAAAGAATTATGGTCCCCCGCTTTCGGTGTCTTTGTGGGTGAGATGTCATTTTTTATGACATATTATGTCAGATATGAACGCCCTATCAAATGTCATATCACCGAAGTTGATTTTTTTTTTAGATAAGGTCAATCATGAAGGTCAAGATCAAGGGGTAAAAAATCAAAGCATCCTCGGAAATATTTTGTCACAAGTAATGCACATGCCAAATATTCCCTATCAATATAAGGAACATGATGTGTTTGTGAAACACTGATGACCCGTATGGCAACAAATCAACGATTAAACTTTTCTTCAATGAAAAATTAAAAATATTATAACCCAAAGTAGGGTCTTATCACAAGAAATACGATTGAGAAATATGAAGTCCTATAACACCACCAGTTCAAAAGTTATGGCCAGGGATAAGTTCTTGAAATTTACGGCAAAGTCCAAGGTCAAAGGGTCAAAGTTATTTGTGTATTAAGAAAGGTCTCCTCACATGTATTACATATGTAAAGTATGAAAGCCCTAGCCCTAACAGTTCAAAAGTTATGACCAAGGTTAAAGTTTTTAAAGAGCAGGTCTTACTCCAAGGTCAAGGTCAAAGTTCTTGATATTCAATAAAAGGTCCTGTCACAAGGATTAAATATATCAAGTATGAAAGCACTAGCCCTTACCATTCAAATGTTATGGCCAAGGTTAAATTTTTTCATAAGTACAGAAATCTCCAAGGTCAAGTTCAAAATTCAAAGTTGTTTGTATCAAATGAATGTTCTTGCCACAGAGAATACATATGTGAATTATGAAAGTCCTATAATTTACTGTTCAAAAGTTATGGCCAAGGTCATAGCTTTTTAAAAAGTAGGTCAAACTCCAAGGTCAAGGACAAAAGGTCAAAGTTCTTGGTATCTAATGAAATGTCTTCTCACAAGGATTACATATGTGAAGTATGAAAGCCCTAGTTCTAACCGTTCAAAGATTATGTCCAAGGTTAAAGTTTTATCATAAGTACGGAAATCTCCAAGGTCAAAAGGTCAAACTTGTTGGAATCCAATGAAAGGTGTCACGGATTATCCGCGGGTTTATGTAACGTACGTTAACGTTATTGTTACGTCACAATACTGTACGTTATGTTTCTATAGTTTATAACAGAGTCTAAATAAACCACTATACGATCAAGACGCATTTCTATTCTTTCCACAACAATTTTGGTGCCGTGATCGACGGAATGTTTACATAATATACGCACAATGGAAGGAAGACTGAAAGCCGTACGGGCCGGTAACAGATCAGCGGTAACGAAACTTTTCGGACGATTTTTGGATTTGAAAGAAAATACAGCCAGTGAAGTAACGGAGGAAGTCGAAATAATTAGAAGATCTCGCAAAAAAGACAAATTCTACAAGAACTAAATGAACGAATATTAGACGCCTTATCTGAAGAGGACATAGAAGAAGAAATCACAAACACAGATGAGTATATGTACGAATTAGATTGCAAAATTAAGAAAACAGAAAAATTTACGGAAAAAGTTTCATGTGAAACTTTGAACGCCAGTGCTGAGTGTTTTGTACCCGCCTTAGAAATTCATGATAGTAACGTAAACACGTCAGCTGCAATTAACTCAAGTGAAACGGCATGTGAGAATATTTTAAACAATTTTCCTGCCTCTGATCTCAATGAACAAAGCAACCAGGTTTGGCAGAAAAATGTTTTGTCATTACCATCCAACCACGCAACGAATAATCATAGATTACCGAAGCTAAATCTTCCAGATTTTGACGGGGATATCTTACAATGGAATACGTTTTGGGATTCATTTGAATCAACAATTCACCGCAACCAAACTTTAACACCAATTCAAAAGTTTTCGTATCTCAAGGCTCAATTACGCGACGCAGCAGCACAAACCATTGCAGAATTTACTCTCACAAACGCAAATTACGAAACCGCCATAGACCTGCTCAAGGAACGATTTGGTCAACCGCAAAAAATCATCAATGCTCACATGAGAGCACTAATGGAACTGAATGCCCCCCGAAACGACGCCATCAGTTTAAGAAATTATGGAGACTGCTTGGAATCTCATGTCAGGAGTTTGGAGTGTCTAGGACAAAAACAAGAGATGTACGGAGCTTTACTTATTCCAGTCATAATCAACAAGCTACCAGCTGAAATCAGGAAAAACGTTGCACGTGAGTACGATGGTGACAACATTTCACTACACAATCTTCGTAAAGCTATCAGCAAAGAAGTCAAAATCCTTGAATCAGGCCAGATTGAAAACAGCGATCGATTCCACGCAACAGCAATGTTTCTTACCGGAGCCTCAAAGAAACAACGCCATGTTCATTATGGACAAAACCAGAAAACAAAAGAGTCAACTCCTTATATCGAAACAACAGAGATAAAGAGCCGCCCATGCATTTATTGTTGCACAAAGAATCACTTTCCAGGGGATTGTAAGAAAGTTACAGAAGTAAGTGCAAGATTCGACATCTTAAAACAGAAGAAATTGTGTTTCAACTGCTTAGGAAACCACCGCGCCACAGATTGTAAATCCCGCAACAGATGTAAAAAGTGCCAGAAGAAACATCACACAAGTATATGCGACATGAAACTAACGAGGGACGGAGACGAGCCAGAGCCCACCAGATCAACAAGTGTCAACATTGTAGGAACGAGCAAACCAAATACTACAGAAATGAACGTTGAACAACGACATAAAAGTGTTTTATGGAAATCAGCTTCCACTCCGATGAGTCGAAATGTGGACTCCATTCAAGAACGTAGCAAGCTGACTAACGAGATACAGCAACTTAAGTCAGAGCTGAAGACTAAGACAGAAAGGATGAACGCGTTGGAACAAGAAAATGGTACCCTGCTAGAGAGATTGTTACAATTCAACCAACAAAGAAATTTTCAGACTTGTGTGGAGAATGGGATGAAGGATATGATTGAACAGATGAATAAAATTGCGCACAAAAACGGACGTCTGCATAACGAGGTTCAGGAATTAAAGGACCAAGTTGTTAATATCAAAACCTACAGCACTCACTTGGAGCATCTTAACGCTAAAAACATCAGTCTTCAGTCACGATATGATTACGCCCAAAGGCAAATATGTGATCTAAATATCAAAGTACAGACAGTCACGTACAGTCACGATATGATTACGCCCAAAGGCAAATATGTGATCTAAATATCAAAGTACAGACACTTGAAAATCAGCTACAAACCTCACAGGGCCCCGTGGAAAGAAGGGAGAAAGATCACACGTTCGCCGTAAGGATCCGTGATGACACACGAAGGGAAGAAACTCAGATGACAGAAAAACGTACAGAGGTTGGGGAGAAGGAAAAAGAAAAATTTACACAAAGAATACATATATGAAATATGAAAGCCCTAGTCCTTACTGTTCAAAAGTTATGGCTAGAGTAAAAGTAATTTTTATGTAAAAGTGGGTCAATTTTTAAACTCCAAGGTCATAGTCAAAAGGTAAAATTTGGTGGTAGCCATGAAAGGTCTTGTCACAAGGAATACACATGTGAAATATAAAATCCACAGCGCCTCTCAATCAAAATCTATGGGCAAGGTTAAAGTTTATGTGACGGACGGACAGCTAGACAGACTGACGGACAGACGAATGAGATTTAATGTCCCCTCGCTTTCGCCAAAGCGGGGGACAAAAAATACAACTGAAATCAGAGTAAAAAAAAACCATGAAAAAAATACAACAACCAGTACTTTTGTTTTTATTTTTCTAATTACTGTATGTGAATTTTAAGCTTATTCAGAGAATTTGTGTCCCCCGCTTAAAGGTATAAAAGATTGGAATGATTGTATTTAAAAAAAAAAAAAGCTCAACGCTCCGTGCGAGGATCGAACCAAACAAATTTCTTTTCCATTGCACTGGTCGGGTAACGTATCTTCTAAGCCATCATCGCTACACATACAATCGACAATGTGGATTAAAGCACTGAATTCACACATGAGAATTTTTGGGAGAAAGTTCATTTTTTTGTAGTTCCTGTGTTTTTCCTCCATTTTTTAAACAATTTTTTTTATTCTTGGAATTTAAATACACACAAATAATGATTCTACGTAATTCATGGGAAGATGACCCACAGATAAAAAATGTTTATTGGAAAAATTTCTCATCTATAAGCCACTTTTCAAGTCATCTTTTAACAAATCAAAACTAAACATTGAGAAAATATTTCTCTTTCCTATTTCACAGGAACCCGATACATCATAAGAATGAAAAAAAAATCATGTTACAGATCAAAGAAATTTTCACTTATCAGGTACGCTCAAATTCCTGCCGAATACCAATCAAGAGCGCCCTTGTTCTTTCTGGGAAAATGAACGTGAAAAAGAATAGATTTTCTATCAGTATATTTCCCATTTTCTATCAGTATATTTCCCCTTCAAGTATTTGTTTTATTAAGTAATAAACTGTTGCATTGATTCTTTAAGAAATAATTATTGTCAAAAATTATTGCGCCCGAGTACTCTCAGTCTTTTGATGGATTTCTTAGTGGTTGTTGTTATTGGCTGCTAACTTCATTCTTGTATTTTGACAAGATGCTATATGCATCCGACTTAATAGTACATTGATTTGTCAGCATGGTATAGCTTCTGCACTACATACCAGTATTACAGAGGAAAGTGGGTTCATGATATAGGATATAGACAACATACTTAGTAATATATAAAATGGACTTAATGATGTAAAGACAAGCCTTCATTATATACATTAAATTTTCGTGGATTTCGTTGTTGGGTAGATCCACGAATTCAAATGTTCATTGAATTACGAAATATGACATTCATTTGTATAGGCAATGCTTTTGTCCACGAAATTACGTATCCTCGAAAACGTCTTTTTTACAAAATCCACGAAATTTGATGCCAACGAAAATTGATGAAACCACAGTAGGCAACATATTTTATTTAGTGGACTTAATGATATAAGAATAGACTACATAAAATATAAAGTGGACTCAATGATATGAAGAATTGACGACATATTATATAAAGTAGACTTAATGATGTAAAGAATTGACGACATATTATATAAACTGGACTTAATGATATGAAGAATTGACGACATATTATATACAGTGGACTTAATGATATGAAGAATTGACGACATATTATATAAAGTGGACTTAATGATATGAAGAATTGACGACATATTATATAAAGTGGACTTAATGATATGAAGAATTGACGACATATTATATTAAGGTCTGACGACATGTTCATCATATAGATGTTTTGTATCTCTTGGTATTGCATAATTTTTTTTCCTTCTTGTCATTCTCTTCTGATATCTATATTGTTTTCAAAATGTTGTTAAATATAAGTACACCAAAAATTGTGATATAGGTCATTCGCATGATTACCCATAATGGTCATATAAGAAATATGACCCCGTGGTATCTTGTCCAAATGCCTGGTAAGGTACCCTAATTTTTTGTGAGGAATATTGTTTAAGTACCAATACTTCAGTAACAAATTCTCAGGAAAAATCATATATTTTTGAGGAACATGTCGTGTGACCTTAAGTGGACTTAGAATATAAAGAATGGACGAAATATTATATAAAGTGGACTTAATGCTATGAAGAATTGACGACATATTGTATCAAGGTCATAAGCAATGTAGTTTGAACTTTATTGGGTTCTTCCCTGGAGTTGAAGAGTTCCACTAACAGAAGGACCCGTGTGCAATACTTTTAATGTCTATATATGGATTTGTACACCTCTTCTAAAACAATTTTTAATGAAAAAAAAATCTGGAATTTTAGTTTTGTAATTTTTGTGTATTTTTCTTTGAATAATGCAAATTTTTAACAATTTAATATCTTTTCAAAACCCCTGGTAATGCATGCTGATTTTTTGTCTAAGAACATGTAATGATATTGTAAGTGTAAATTTAGAATATCTTGAAAAATTATCAGTAAGTGAGGTACGTTGGGTATGTCCTTAAGTGGACTTACTGATATAAAGGTTAGAAGGACTTAATGTTATTTCGAACTGACACCATGATGCATATTTTGTACCCTTAAGACAGCTGTGGCGTTCCATACAGATCAACTTTATATTTAACGATAATATAACGGTCACTAATACTTGAAAAGAAATACTGTATCCATACGTTCTAAACAAGTTTCATTGAAAAGCCCAAAGCAAACCTTCATTGATGATTATTTGTAAACTACGTAAACATATATTTAACTTCATGTTTTAAGTCAAATTTATTCAGTGTAGAATCTTACCTATGTAAACACCAGTGTTGGAGCTGTCTAGTCTCTCTTGAGTAAAACCGCCGTCTTCGAGAGCCATGTGCACAGTTTCCATAACAAAATGTTGTTGTGGATCAATGACTTCAGCCTCCATATCGTTGATCCCAAAAAATCTATTGTCCCATTTATCATAACTGAAATCGAAATAAATATTTCTTACAGATTTATATCTAATATGTTTTACGGTGTGACCGTTGGGGCGAGCGCAGTTGTACCATCAAAAACACTTGAGATCAGCCACTTCGAACGTCAAGCCGCACGAGATATCTCGACTAGCTGTGACGTCATACGACGTCACAAAGCTAGTCGGAGCTTAAGGAGACAGCCGAGCGTCTGTTTGAAACTATAGAACTAGCGCAATTTTTGTCGAAAAACATTGCAGAGTTATTTCTTGTTTCTTTGAAAGATTTCTACAAACTGAAAGTCTGATATATGCTTTACGTTTTTATTTATTTATTTATTCGGCAATATTCGCGCAAAGGACATTGAGTAGTGCAGGAATTCTGGGAATGTTGCACAGAGAAATTTGGCTGACGTATGTACATATTTCAATCCGAATTTCCTCTGTTCTTACACGTAAGTCTATTGAGCTCGCTTCGCGAGCGTCGCTTCGCGACGCTCGCTGCGCTCGCTATTAAGAAAAATATTGTTGCTAGCGCTCTCGAGTGCTAGCAACTACGCTAATGCATATTTCTGGTAGACGCATGCTCGGCTTCACGGTCGGGCATTCTGGGAAATCTTCACGGTCTTGTAAAATTCTGTGTATGGATAGACTGTTCGATAACCATTTCGTTGTGTCATTAAATAACATTTGCCTTTTCTGTTTAATTCTTAGTTTGTTTATTTAATGTGTAACTGTAACAAACTAAATTTAATCCCTTAAGATACCCCTATTACTTGAATGTAAATATTGTTCGGGAAGTCACAGCCGATATAAGACCTGTTTGGCTTGTTGTGTTTAAGTAGCCGGGGCGGGTACTCAAATTGCATCAGGTATTTGAAAAATTTAATGCAATTTGTAAAATGTTTTCTTGTTTGAATCTTCACGTTTAGTATGGTTGGTTTATTATATTTTTCCCCAGGGTCCTATTTCCTCGGACATTCGTCCCGTTTCATAATTATCAGGTCTTGGGCGGGGTACTACAGCTAATTACATTGACAATAGCCAGTCGACAGCCCAGGGTGAGAGGGAGAGGCTTGCAATGTGTAATGGTTTTGCAGTTACAGCGGCAAGTGTGAGAAAGAGTGCGACAGAGTACGGCAGCCTGACGGACACCTCGGGACCAGAAATTCAAAGTTATGTGTTGATATTAAATAAATAATTCACCTTTTTGAAATATTATCAATTTAATCCAACGTTAATCCAGACGGCATTGTGAAAGTTTTAAAACACTCAAATATGTGTTATTTGTGAAATTATATTCAATTTGTTTTGTGAAAGAAAAATACATTTACCACAGGAAATTAAAAAAAAACAGACTCAAATCTTCAGCAAGGGTGAATGTGTACTACGTTTTAAAGGTTACTCTCCAGGACTGACGTGCTGGTGATAGACATTTCATTTCTATATTTTTAGGTCACCTGAGTCACTCAGGTGACCTATTGCTATCTGTTTTCGTCCGTCGACGTACGTCGTCAATCGGTCGTAAACTTTTGAACATTTTCAGCTTCTCTGCAACCACTGAACCAATTTCAACCAAATAGCACAAAGCATCTATGGGTGAAGGGAAACAAAAATTTTGAATTTCATGATCCCTGCCCCCCCCCCTGGGGCCTGGGGGGTGGGGCCAAAACCACTAAAATTAATGTAATCTTTAAAAATCTTCTTCCTTACTCCTGGACATCAAGCAGTCAAACTATTTGCATGATTGAAATCAGCATCGAGTCCTTTACCAAAATTGTGAAATTCATGGCCCTGGGGTAAGGAGTTCTTGTACTAGGGCGGGGCTAAATAGGTATATAGTGAAAATGCATGAATTCTTTGAAAATCTTCTTCTCTGCTCCTGGATATTAAATAAACAAACTAAGTACATAGTTATAATGAGCAAGAGTGCCTCTACCAAAATTGTGAATTTTATAGCCCAAGGGTCAGGGGTTCTGGTGTTAGGGCGGGACTCTATTGATTATATAGAGAAAATACATGAATTCTTTGAAAATCTTCTTCTCTGCTCCTGGGTATTGAATAAACTAAGTACATAGTTATAATGAGCAAGAGTGCCTCTACCAAAATTGTGAATTTTATGGCCCCAGGGTTAGGGGTTCTGGTGTTAGGGCGGGGCTCTATTGATCATATAGTGAAAATACATGAAATCTTTGAAAATCTTCTTCTCTGCTCCTGGGTATTGAATAAACTAACTAAGTACATAGTTATGATGAGCAAGAGTGCCTCTACCAAAATTGTGAATTTTATGGCCCCAGGGTCAGGGGTTCTGGTGTTAGAGCGGGGCTCTATTGATTATACAGTGAAACTACATGAATTCTTTGAAAATCTTTTTCTCTGCTCCTAGGTTTTATATAAACTAACTAAGTACATAGATATGATGAGCAAGAGTGCCTCTACCAAAATTGTGAATTTTATGGCCCCAGGGTTAAGGATTCTGGTGTATGGGCGGGGCTCTATTGATTATATAGTGAAAATGCATGAATTCTTTGAAGATCTTCTTCTCTGCTCCAGGGTATTAAATAAACTAACTAAGTACATAGTTATGATGAGCAGGAGTGCATCTACCAAAATTGTGAATTTTATGGCCCCAGGGTCAGGGATTCTGGTGTTAGGGCGGGGCTGTATTGATTATACATGTATAGTGAAAAAACATTAAATCTTTGAATATTTTCTTTTTTGCTCCTAGGTTTTAAGCAGATGAACTACCTACATATTTATGAGCAAGGGCCCTAATCTTCAAGAATTGTAAATTTCAAGGCCCCAGGGTCAGTTGTACCATAGAGGGGGGGGGGGCTGTACTTATACTGAAAATGAATGAATTGTTTGAAATGTGCTCCTTTGTATTAATCAAATATTTTTGAAAAGCAAGGACGCCTTTCCAAATTGTGTGCAATGTGTGGATTTAGGCCTAAGAGTCAAGGGTTCATGTGTGGTAGCGGCACTACTGGTTATTGCTGAATATTACTGATTAGTTGAAATGCATTTTTTGTTCCCCTAACCTGTCTACTATGGGTATTAGGTAACCAAACTAAGGAACTGCTAAGTGTATAGTTATGATGACCAAATTGTAAATGCTATAGCATCTGGCTTAAAACGTGGATCAAATTCAATCACTGGAAAGTTGTTGAATAATGCTCAGGTGACCTATAAGGCCCATGGGCCTCTTGTTTTAAATTGTTTTTGTTGTAAAAATTTACTTTTTTGTTTATTAAATTTTGTTAAAATTTCATTCGTTTTATTTCCTTAATTTATTCAAGTTCCTAAAGTGTATAACTCACATCTCAACAGTAACTTATATATATATATACACTTTAAAGTCAACTACACAACAAAAATTAAGGTCATTTATTTTTAAGATTATAGACATCTAGCGTGCGAGTTATACCACCTTTCTGGATAATAGCGTCAACCCAATAAAAAATCTCTTTTTATCTTTTTAAAGTTTGTTGGCAAGACACAATAAGCGATTGATGCAGTGCATCTCCACACTAATATAATTTCAATTCTATAAGATAACTTCATAAAAAAAATACAAGAGGCCTATGGGCCACATCGCTCACCTGAGAAGCTTTGACCATTCTGTTCTTTACCAGATTTCCGACATGTACAATGTAATACATATTGTGACCCCATCCTACCCCACTTATTATAATTTAGACAATTTGAAATCTACACTATCCCAGAATACTTCAACATAAGTTTCAGCTTTTCTGGCCCAGTGGTTCTTGAGAAGAAGATTTTCAAAGATTTTTCCTATATACTTTGATTCCCCATTGTGGCCCCACCCTACCCCTGGGGGTCATGATTAGAACAATTCAGAATCTACACTACCCCAGAATGCTTCCACATAAGTTTCAGCTTTTCTGGCATTGTGGCATTCTGGCATTCCCCATTGTGGCCCCATCCTACCCCCGGGGGTCATGATTTCAACAATTTAGAATCTAAACTACCCCAGGATGCTTCCACATAAGTTTAAGTTTTTCTGGCCCAGTAGTTCTTGAGAAGATTTTCAAAGATTTTCCCATATTTTTCTATGTAAAACTTTGATTCCCCATTGTGACCCTGCCCTACCCCCGGGGGTCATGATTTGAACAATTTAGAATCTACACTACCCTAGGATGCCTCCACATAAGTTTCAGCTTTTCTGACCTAGTGGTTCTTGAGAAGAAGATTTTTAATGACCCACCCTATTTTTGTCTTTTCTTGATTATCTCCCCTTGTGAGGGGACTTCGCCCTTCATTTTAGCAATTTAAATACTGCTTCATCCAAGGATGCTTTGTACCAAGTTTGGTCAAAATTGGTTCAGTGGTTCTTGAGAAGAATTCGAAAATGTGAAAAGTTTACAGACGGACGGACAGACAGCTAGACAGACAGACAGACGGACAGGCGGACGGACAGACGGATGGACGACGGACAATAAAACCTTCGACTCAGGTGAGCTAAAAATAATAGGTAAAAAGAAACCGAACAAATAGTTAGTGCATCACTTCGAATTATGCTTTGATAAAATGAGAGAGAAATATATAGTTACTATATATATATATATATATATATATATATATATATATATATATATATATATATATATATATATATATATATATATATATATATAGGTCTCTGGTGAAATGTTAAACAATTGTGTTGAACAAAATCTAAAAAAAAAAAAGGATCGAATATAATGTGGAAAGTATTCTGGCGGTGTCAGATTGATAGCATCATTCAAAAGCAAATGCAGAGAACTAAAAAAAAAAAGTATATATAAATGACAAAATAATTTTCAAAAATTATAATAGATCATTATAACTATTGTTAATACTTTTATGGTTTGTTTCAAAACATCTCTCACGATTTTTTCTCAAATGCGGTTTGTGGGGTGGGGAGTTAAGGTAACGGTATAACGACCGATGTCTCTGCACTCTGTGATCTATTTTGGTTTCCCCGACACATTTAAATTTCTATGTCAGCGTGAGTTTTTATCAGCCGATGAGCGCGGCCGGTAGAGGGTTCTAAACATTGTTGATCATGCACCTGACTGTACATTGTATATTGCGGACAGACAAGCCAGTCTAGTATTTTTATTGTCTACTCCAGCTGGTTATGTTATCGATATGTGAATAGCTGAGTGAAAAATTAATGTAAACATCACGCTTGTTTAAATGTCTAAACGAAATCAGGCTCCAAGACCATAACTGAGAACAGACTGAAGTCAAAATTTTAGTTTTTTAATATCTTTTGAGTTATATTTAATTAATTCACATAAAAAATTAGTCTAACATTTTAAATCAAACATATGATGAAAATTTTGTATCATTATCTTAATCAGATGTCATGTTGGTTTGAAATATTGACTTATTATCAGTGTTTATTGTCTTGGTGCCAGATCACGTGTGCTTTATGGAATGATTCATTGGTCCAGGCCCTTACCATGCACATCTATAAATTCCTTATTTTATTTTTAGTTTCATTTTCTTTATTTGATAATTTCGCTTTCTTTCTTTATTAATTTTATTTATTCAATAATTTCTTTTCTTTGTTTATTATTGGTTTGCGCTATTTCCAGAAAAATGAAGTTTCTAAACACGCATTTTATAATATTTAGGTGTAAAATGCGCTATGAATATATCAGTCGTGCAAATATATTAAAATTAAATATTATAGGATTATTGAACTTAAATTGGTGAATATTGGCACGAGTTGGCTGTACAAATGCACGAACTGCGAGCTCGTGCATTTGCACGGCTAACTCGAGCTCGTGCCAATATATTCACCAATTTAAGGACGTTCGATCCTGAGATTTTGAGCAAATTTTGGTCAGGTCCTTTATTTATAAAATTCTGCATCATTTTCAAGTTCTTATTTTAAACATTTAATCTGAATTCTACAGTGCAAATTTAGCTATATCCAATGAAAAAAACGCGATTAAATTCCATTCAAGTAGGATTAAGCTAGGGACTATATTTTGTGGCGGAAGGTTTTTTGACGAAAATGATCAGTTTTTCCATTTTGAACTATAACAGTAATGTTAATTTTGGATGCCTATTTTTCCAACCTGGTTGCACACAAAGCTGTTTTTGCAGTGAAATGTGTTATGCTGGTTCTGAAATATCTATTAAATTATTTCTTATGAATTCTATTTAAAAAAGTGTGACAAATATAGTCAATATATTCTGAAAATCCCGGAAAAAATTGAGCCAATTTTAACGTAAAATTGACAGTTTTTTTGTAAAATCTGAAAATTTACACCATATACCCCCACTTTTGATATTCTTTTCTAAATATTCAAGATAAATTTGACCTATTTGCTTAAAATCAGAAAAAGTTTAAGACATTAAAATAATTTTCTTGCTTATTAAAATTTCATTGCCGGAAAAATCACTTTTTATTAGTGCAGAAAGGTCAAATAATTGATTATGCGAAGCAATTTGAAACTTTTTCTTAGTCACGATTTTTAAGTGTCTTTTCTTAAACAAACTTAGAGGTCATTTTGTTTCATGCTTTAATCGGATAAAAATATTGGAGGGAAAACGTCAAAAATTTAATTTTTAATTAAGACACAAATTTCAGTGCAAGAAGGTCATACATGTATTAGATGTACTGTAGCGCCAAAAGAAGCGTATTGACCCCCATTTTTTGATTTGAATTTTAATTAAGCTATGTAGGTAGAAACTAAGAATATACATGGCAAAAAAAGTTTAAGACTTTAAATATCAGGATCGAACGTCGTTAAGTTCAATAACCCTATAATATTAACTTCAGATCTGCATGTGTCCAAGCCCTTTAAAGTTCTGGATACTTTAAAAAGATGGAAAGAAAGGGGCTTTTTTTAATTTATCTTAATAGAAATTTATAAATGTAATTCTTAAAGAAGGCAATACAGGGGCAGTACTTTTATCTATATCTAAAATCTTATCATAATGAATGTAATGTACCCTTTTTCAAAAATTTTTCATTGAAAAAAAATAACGAAAATCAATAAAAAGTAAAAACAATGATTGCTTACCTATGTATGAGTCCAGCTTTCCTAACATTGGTCTTCCGAGGGTTATCTGGATCGGGATCATAATAAGCATCAATATTAAACCTTTCTGGGGGTATATCTTGAACATGGTCTTCTCCATCGCGAAGAACTTTCCAGAACTCATCTATGTTTTCAGCTCCTGGAAACATACAACCAATGCCTACAACAGCAATGGCTGCTTCGTCTTCCATTGTCGAAACTGAAAGGAAAACGCTCTCTATCAAAAGTTGTTTGTTAAATCACACTTATAAATACCATTGGTTGAAAACAGTATGATTAACATCTTCTGAGCATTGCTAAGTTAGCTCCGCCCATTTACGCAACAAATTATGTATATTAAGTATAGTGTATGATAGACCTAGATTTTCGTGTTATTATGGACAGACACGGTACTACCTTCTTGAATTTGGCCATCATTTAAGGTGCAATTTTCGCCTGATTCGGGGAAAATACTCAAAGCAATCCAATGAATTGCCCTGCAAGAGTTATATAATGAAATCCATCTTAAAACCAACTCTTTGAGATACAAGCTATGGTATAAATGTTGATTTTTATTTTTTAAAATCGATATTGGAAAGATAACGCTAATTGTATATGGATATATTAAATTTTATGCCCCCGTAATCGATGTTTCGGGGTATATCGTTTTTGCCGTATCCGTCCGTCTGTCTGTCTACCTTTCTGTTCGTCCGCAAAAACTTTAACCTTGCCCATAACTTTTTTGGAGCTATGACTTTCATATTTCACAAGTGTATTTCTTGTGACAAGACCTTTCTTTAGGTACCACCAAATTTGACCTTGACCTTGTACTTTAACCCACTTTTACACAAAAATTCCAAACTTTTACTTTGGTCATAACTTTTAAACGGTAGATACTAGGACTCTCATACTTCACATATTCATCCTTTGTGTCAAGAACTTTTATTGGATACCATTAACTTTGATATTTTAACCTTGACCTTGGAGATTTCTGTACTTATGAGAAAACTTGAAACTAGGCCATACCATTTGAATGGTTAAAGCTAGGGCTTTCATACTTCATATATGTAATCCTTTGACATTAGTCCTTTCTAGAGAAACCAACAACTTGGACCCTTTGACCTTGTAGTTTGATATACCGTTCAAAAACTTATCCTTGGCCATAACTTTTGAACAGGTGTTTCCAGGGCTTTCATATTTTTCACAATTGTATTTCTTGTGTGAAGAACTTACTTTGGGTACCAATTTTCAGATAAGTATGGTAGTAAATATTTGTTTCATATTAACTCATATTTTAAATTTTTTTGTGAATTATTTTTATTATCTTTTTGTTTACCATATAATTTTTTTTTCACCTAATGATTAGACATATAATAGTCATATACATGTATCTGAGAAGTAAGCAACGCTTCATAATTCAAACTTTTTTCCCACTTGAATCTGATATTCTTTCTGATGAAAATCAATGTTGGAATTTTTAAAGTGAAATTTAGAGCAGAGAGCAGCTTATTTATAAAATTTAAAATACATGTATAAAGATGTATTTGTGCTACAAACAAATGTTGAAAGTATGTACTCATGTTGGGTTGCCCAATACATTGAGCATGTATAATAAAGATCTATAGCTATTCGGTTTTTGAATTTACTGGTTAATAGCAAAAAAAAATGTATTTTCAAGTCCAACGTCAGCTTTAACCCGTTAAGTCTTACTTGACATACTTTTATTTCGAAGAAATATTATATTTTATCACGATTTTAAGAATGTTTTGTTATTTAGCCAAGAATCCAGGAGTGCAGGAAAACATTATTTTGGCAATGGTAATAGGTTGAACCAATTCCATGATTAGATCCATCATCAACGTTTCGGTTTCTTATCCACAAGATATAACAAAATAATTGGTGCAAAGCATCAAATCGGCCGCAAACAAAATTCAGCTTTTCAAAAAGTATTTTCACAATTTTAAAAGCACCCATGCAAGGAAAACACAAAATATTTAAAGCTGAGATAGCGATCATTTTTATTTCAGATTGTCTTCAAAGCAAAATAAATAATTTTTTAAAATTCAGTATAAAAATTTAATTGAATTTGCCCATCAAATAGATTTGTCGATGTACTAAAGTCAATGATAAATGTTAAAGATTTTAATATTGTCATCAAAATGAAGATGAAGCCTCTCAAGGTGAACCACGTACTGATACCCTGGATTTTTGTAAATTCTCAATTTTCTGACGAGAAATGATAATAAAATTGAAACTAATAAAAACAAATGATAAAATTTAAGGCAAGTTTTAAAACATTTTACTCGTGATTTTACACATGTTATCATTCATGACTTATTTTATTGAACTAATAAAAAAAAATGACGTCTCATTTCCCCATGTGCACTTTCTAACACAACCAGAAATAGATCGGCCGCTGCGGTCGATAAAAAAATACAAGTAGGTTGAATGTTTTTATAACCTAGTTCAAAAGTCTTGTGAGTTGTGTAGCGAATTCGAAAGTGCTACGTTTAATTCACAGGACAAGTACAATTGCAGACAAAATTATATGTACATTTATGAGGATAATATCAATTCTACATAACAAATATTTTAAAGAAAAAATTCAAATAAACATTTATTTTAGAGAATAACAAGTATTCATGTATCTCAACAGTACACGCAAGCTGACAGTATGCATAACAGACTATAAATATATAGAGCTCAAGGACGGCATAATTAAGTTATATAAGAATATCATTGTATGTTTCGAAACTGCCGGAATACCCAGAGAAGTACATGATTCTGTGAAATTATTATCTAATTAACTTTTATTTGAGTGTCGCTTAAGTATGTCTGACATTCAACGGCCAATGAAAGAGGACAACTTTATTGTAAACAAGAAAAAGGAAGTGATGACAAAAAAATGTTTCAATATTCGCACGTTTACAAGTCCTCAGTCTTGAGTAGGTACTTTCTCAGTCTTGAATAAGGCTTAACAAAATTAATAAAAAGAATAAAAAATTAGGACATAAAAATAGAACAAGAAGTTTAATACGCAGAAATGTAAATGAAGGCTGTATCACTGAAATTCCCGGTTTTTTGGCATAATGTGCCAATGAATCATGCAAGGGGGTATTTTTTAATATGGAAGAGGAATGAATACAATCTTGATCATAGCAAATCAGCGTAATCTAGATAGAATTTAACAAACAGTTCAATAGCAAACACACAGGATGAAGTACATTGTACATTTGTCATGTATACATACTTTGTGTGCATCTTCGAAAGTAATTTTCATAAAAATAAGCTGTTTGGGGGGGGGGGGGGGGGGGGGGGGGGGGGAAGAGGCTTTTGGTTAAAGGATACTAAATACGCCTTGCGATTTGCTGCACACGTTTAGTTATTACTCGCTGAGAAGGTCAGTATCAAAAGCAGTGCAATTCCAAATCCCCATGTAATAAAAATTCGTATAAATTTATAATGTGTCATTACTAACATAATTAATTAATGTCACGATTTGTTTTTATTTCAAGTAGAGTAAATGAGACCATTTGCATGGTCCTTTCACTCATGCCTACATGCATATGATAATTCAATATTTTATAAACGTTAGAACTGGCAGATGAAAATGGTTATTTAAAAAATTCTATAAAGTACCAATAACTCAAAATGTAAAAGTAATAATATTTAAATTTGTAAAGTGTTTATCTATGGTGTCCGGATAGGGCCATTTGCATTAGCGCGACATCGCTTTCAAATAAACGAGACATCGCGCTAACACAACTTTGCACAACACGCCGTCGCGCTAACACACAACACGCCGTCGCGCCAACGCAACATTGCACAACACGCCATCGCACTAACACACAACACGCTGTCGCGCTAACATAACTTTGCACAACGCACCGTCGCGCTCACACACAACACACTATGGTGTCCGGATAGGGCCATTTGCGTTAGCGCGACATCGCGTACAGATAAACGCGCCGTCGCGCTAACACACAACACGCTGTCGCGCTAACGCAACTTTGCACAACGCGCCGTCGCGCTAAAACACAACGCGCCACAGCGTGTTGTGCAATGTTGTGTTAGCGAGACAGCGTGTTGTGTGTTAGCGAGACGGCGCGTTGTGTGTTAGCGCGACGGCGCGTTGTGCAAAGTTGTGTTAGCGCGACAGCGTGTTGTGCAAAGTTGTGTTAGCGCGACGGCGTGTTGTGTGTTAGCGCGACGGCGCGTTGTGCAAAGTTGCGACGGCGTGTTTTGCAAAGTTGCGTTAGCGCGACGGTGTGTTATGGTGTCCGGATAGGGCCATTTGCGTTAGCGCGACATCGCGTTCAGATAAACGCGCCGTCGCGCTAACACACAACGCACTGTCGTGCTAACACAACTTTGCACAACGCGCCGTCGCGCTAACACACAACAAGCCGTCACGCTAACGCACTGCAAAGTTGCGTTAGCGCGACGGCGTGTTGTGCAAAGTTGTGTTAGCGCGACGGCGTTTTGTGCAAAGTTGTGTTAGCGCGACGGTGTGTTGTGCGTAAGCGTGACGGCACGTTGTGTGTTAGCGCGACGGCGCGTTGTGCAAAGTTGTGTTAGCGCGACAGCGTGTTGTGCAAAGTTGTGTTAGCGCGACGGCAGGTTGTGTGTTAGCGCGACGGCGCGTTGTGCAAAGTTGTGTTAGCGCGACGGCGTGTTGTGCAAAGTTGCGTTGGCGCGACGGCGTGTTGTGTGTTAGCGCGACAGCGTGTTGTGTGTTAGCGCGATGTCTCGTTTATCTGAACGCGATGTCGCAAATGGCCCTATCCAGACACCATATTTATCGGTGATAAAACCCCTTTTATCAGGTTATTCAGCACACGATTGAATATTGAGTTGATAGAAAATTAAAAAAGAGGCCCATCGGCAATATTGCTCACCTGAGTAACTTTGGCCACGCTGTTCTTAACCAGATTCCGCCTTATAATACCTTTTGTGACCTCAACTTACATGTATCCCCAGGTCCTATATATTTCAGTGCGAAACTTAAAATCCCTATATTGTGGCCCTGTCCTACCCACGGGGTCATGATTTGGGAAAAAAAAGATTTTTAAACATTTTTTCCCCATATATCTCAATGTAAAACTTGAATTCCCTATTGAGGTCTAGTCCTATCCCTGGGGTCATGACTTAGACAATTTAGAATCTACACTTCCCCAGGATGCTTCCA